TTTTATAATATTAGTCCAGACAGTGTTTTCCTAAATTATATATATTATGATTACCAACTATTGTTTAACTGATGTAATATTAAGTAGAGTAAAAATACTATTATTGTTTCTTTGACAGTGCTTGATATATCTATGATGCTTGATATATCATTTAGTGAAAGAGAAAAAAAGGAATATAAAATGTTACAGCTTTTAGGTTGACCCAATGTTAGACCAACGAATGAATAAAGACTTAAATTGCTACTACTCGTAGTATTTTATTATTTCAATAACGGAACCCTAATTCTGCCCCATTAATAGACCCGCAGGTGTACATAAAACCTATAAACGGGTTATGGGGTCACAGGCTTTAAGTTTTAATATCAATAAAAGTTATTATAACGACCATCTCTATAAGAGAGGAAAAACAATTCGATTTATCTATACAATATTTCCAGAATATTGTTAAAAAACCATCACTCTTTGGAATACAGTGTCCTGATTTTACATTTATCCTTCTTTAGCAGAGAACATTCGTTTACAATGCACATTGTTTTCTTAAATTATTCCTTATATAATTAAACTCATGATTATAAATACATATTAATAGTATAAGTACGAAAGTAACTGTCTGTGCGTGTTGTTTTTATCACATTTTTACGCCTCAACTACTGAACCAAATTTAATGAAATTTTTCAGATAGAGTGAGCCTTGGGAAAATACATAGGATTCTTTTTATCACGAAAAATAGACGTAAAATGTTGGAATAAGTGATGAAAATAATAAGGGCAATAATAACCGAATTTATCGTCCCTCGTATTTTATCTTTTGAAAGCTATGAAAATATATTTACAATCAAAAAAATAATTTTAAAGTCAAGTTGAGAAATCTATATTCATTTTACTATTTTTTATATTTCTCGTTTAACTTTATAGTAACTCTTAGAATAGTAAACAAACTGTATACTGATAAAAATCGGCCATAATCAATTTGTACAAGAGGTATATTATGATTCGTGTCATGTTTAGAGATTTTTTTTGTTATTTCTGTCCAATGTTAGCAGAGGTCATCACATCGGAGTTGGTGGCAAGCCGACCAATCCTTCACCATTCCTTCCGCACTGCTGCCCTTCGTGTGCATTCGTGGAGTGGACCGTTAAGTGCTGATTTTATTTGGTCAGTCCAGCGCAAGAGAGAACTCGCGTGCCCTCAGCTTTGCCCTGCATCACAAGACGCTCCACAGATGTATCCCATCGCCGTATGAGATGACCAAAAATGCGACCCTGTACGGTGGAAAAAAGTTTTTCCATTATAGAGATCATCCTCCGGTACCACAATTCCTGAGCGTGTAACTTCTTTTTCTCGCTCTCCCCGTGTCCATGTCTCATCACCGTAATATAACATAGGAAATACTAACGCCTGAACGAGTCTCTTTTTTTGTTGCTTCTATTCCTGTTTCTCTATCTTCTTTAGTCTATCCATGGCTGACTTCAATAGACTAAAGAAAAGTGGGTACACTGGGTTTTAATGGGTATCTTCTGGTGACAGACGGCAGATAGCTCGTCGGGGAAATACTTAAATCGTAAATAACGTATATAAAAAAAGAAATAGAGCTCTCCAACCACATGTTAGCAAAATAGGGCGAGCGGGACACCTCTATTGTTCCATATAATGCTTTCCCACTCGCTGCGCTGATTAAACATTACTATAAGAAGTGACAGAAACCCCCTTGATTAAAAATGGGAGAGACAAACCGTGAATATAACTTACCTACCGTATCAAACACGTTAAATTTTGTGCACTTATTACAAATGTCTCCTGTATAATTAGCTCGCTATATGCTAATTATACAGGAAACATTTCGATAGGGTTTTCCAGGGTTCGGAGTCATAATTATTTCGATAGGGTTTTCCAGGGTTCGGAGTCATAATTATCATTGATAATTATCTTGATAAGTATACCTTGATAAATATAAAACACAACATACTCTTTTTGTACTTTAGGACTTGTAATTAAAGAGGAATCACCTTTAAACAACTATCAAATATGGTTTACTGATACAGTAAATTGTCTAGAATAGACCTACAAAACAAAATAAAATATTTGTATTTAAATTTCACTTTTTGTTCAATGTGATTTGACAGTTATTTTATTTCATTTGTATATTTTTTATAATTTAAGATGACGTAAATAAAAGTTCATTTTATTATGAATGCCTTTCTGTATTTAAAAATAAATTGCCGGTAGCTGTGTATAATTATCAGATATTTATCAGATAACTAGTGGACGCCCGCGACTTCGTCCGCGTGGAAGTCGGTATCCCGTGGGAGTGAGAAGTTTTCCCAGTAAAAAGTACCCTATGTGTTATTCTGATGTATAACCTATATTGCTGTAAAGTTTTATCCAAATCCGTCCAGTAGTTTTTTCGTGAAAGAGTAACAAACATCCATACATCCATACTTACAAACTTTCGCCTTTATAATATTAATAGGATAGGATAGGATTATCCAAAAAAATATTATCTTTATAACTACGAACCCTGGTTCTAACTAATTGGAACCTTTACTCATTCTTAACAAGACTTGCAGTCGGTCATCCATCCCAAAACCAGCCATTGTGAAGTTGGTTTAATATTCACAATCGCATACGGTAAGCGCGATCCACTGCGCCATGGAGCTCCTGTTACGTAAGTCCAGTGCCTACTTAACTTCGTTTTATATGCCCTTTATGTAGAATAGTTTCCTGTGTGGCGCAGATGCAGAGGAGTTTAATTTTTCGCATCATAAAATTGGCCCGTGACGTGACTACGGGAGGTTCTATAATTCCCACTATATCATATCTCTAAGTGTCCTAAATTACACTGGTTTTGACGCAAACTGGGTTAGTTAGGTAGGTAACCAATTTATAGTGCAGATAAGTTACTTAGGTATTTTAATTTGAAACTTTAGAATTAACGATCACTTTATACTAATATTATAAAGAGCAAATATTTTATTGTTGTTTGTTTACATCGAATGGGCCGATTTTGAATATTATTTCACCTATTGGAAGCTACATCGTACGCGGATGCATAGACTATAATTGAAGCGGGCGAAGTCGCGGAAAAACAGCTAGTAGGTATATATTTTATGATTAGAATAAAAAATACTTATCAGTGATTTAAACGTGAAAAGGTAATATAATAAAGTAATAGATTAAAACAACGTTTATGAATTCTAAGCAACTGAACGAGTCCCCATCAACCTCCTAACACTGTTTTTACCCCTTTGCGGGATGCTTTCTGGTATAAAAACAATCTTATGGTCTCCTCAGGGTTTCAGAATATATTCATAGCAAATGCAACCTAAATCGGTTCAGTGGTTTAGGTATGAAAGGTATAAGCGCAGTTACTTTCACAATATATTACGGATGAGTAGATATGGATAATATAAAAAACCTTACTGTAATCCACAGAAATGTGATAGGTGCAGTTAAAGAGTTCATTTCTACATAAATTTCTCGCAAATTATACAAAGCACAAAAATTCACGAACTATCGTCATTTTGTCAAGTGATGTCAGCAAAGAGTAAAGCATAGAGTAACTTGAGTAAAGTATGAAGCCTTTTAATTCGGAACTTGTGAATATTTTTTTAAGGCGAAGTCTTCAGAGATCTATGGATGTGCCTTTTGAATATTATTACAACAGTATAATAATTTTTTTTAAATAAAAGCAATATTTAAAGTGTTCACTAGTTTATTCAAAAAAGGATCAGAATTGGAGTTTATGCAAAAAAAGGATCAGAATTGGCACTCTTTGTGCGATAAGAAAAATACAGATATACATAAGTATATATAACAAGTAGGGCCCATGGTAGGCCCAAAATAGGACACCCCCGCACAAGAATGCCATTTCTGATTCCTTCTTTTTGCTTAAATGTGTTTATTCCTGTAAGTTTTTGCATGATTATATACTTGTAATAGCACCAGGAAAGCTTTGATTACATATAAAGATTTATATTGCCAATCATAATAAAATATTATAGGTACAGTTGTCGCAAAATTAAAACACCTTGATATCACGAAGGGTTCGGGGCCTGACGATATACCACCTCTTTTTCTATACAATTCTAATAAGGAGTTAGCAAAACTACTGTATTTGATTTATAACCTTTCTCTCAAAACTGGAACAATCCCTTTAATTTCCCGCTGAGGTATCCTCGCTCGTCTGTCAAGTTGTTCTTTCTTCCAATGCGTAGTAACTTGGGATTTAACTCACCCGTTTTACGTTTGAGTCGATTATACAATAGTATTAGTAATATAATTGACGTAAATTGATTGCCAAAGAATAAATTCAAAGAAATACTGTATATTTTTTTAATAATTAGGAATAAGTATAATGTTGTTGATATATTGTTGCTGTTACTTTACAAATAGATTTACTTTACTGTTGGATTGCATGCAGTGCCTATAATTGTCTTTGCATTTACTAAGTTATTTTATTCGATTCACTTTTTCTGTATACTGTATAAATGGTGACTGTGTAATTGATAAATAAATAAAAAAATAATCAAAGTAGAGAATATACACTTTCTGAGGCAGATTGAATTCTAGACTACTTCAGCATATTGTCAGTTTTTGTCATTCTTTTTTAGAAAAATAATGCCCTGGTTGCGCGCTAACCGGGCATTACATATCCTCGTCCTGTCTGCGGGGTATGACTCAAATGTTCCCGAGTCGTAACCCCAACCCGCAGAGGGACCCGTTTTACAAGGGCCTTATTAACAGATTTTGGTTTTTAATTGTCCAGGGAATGTTAACGGCGATAGGTGATACGAAATAAACTGGGTTTTTATTTGATAATAAAATGTAATGTTTACTCATTTCACCAATTGCAAAAGTTATTAATTGGTACAAAGATAATGATAAGATTTGTAAAACAATTTGTATATAGGGGTCTGAGATGTCAATATTATTGAAAATGGGCAAGAGACCATTTTATAACACGGAACTATAAAAAGAGAAAAAGAAAATAAACGACATATTTGGAAAATACAGTATGTATTTAATATTGTAAAACTTTAGTATAAAATTAACACTTATGTACTAAATATGAACTTTCGGCGTATCACTCGTAAATCTTTACAATTACATCATTTACCCAATATATAAAATATATTTAAAAGTAGCAAAGTAAATAACTGCGTCTGCGCAGAAAAGAATAAACGATAGCCGATGAAATAAGAGTATTGACATCCTTGAAATAAAGACTTTAATGCGTTACCTTAAAGATGAACACGGCACAAGCGCAAACGCATAACGTTAATATTGGCTATTACAAGCTTCTAAAAAATTAAACTTCTGCGCAGGTACATACATCAGTGCAACTTATATTGTTACTGTGAACAAATCCAATATAATATTCATTAGGGCTCAATTCACAAAGAGAATGACAACAATCATAAAATAACAAGTGTTTAAAAAGTATAGTATGTCAGGAGTTCCCAAAATGTGCGCCGCAGCTCCAGGGACCACCTCAGTATCTATCTCAAAATAATTCAAAGGTCAACAAACGAATAAATTCAAAATTGTTTCTTTTAAGAACAAAACAATTATAAAACAAGGGTCGGTCAGTGCTCTTTTTTCATTAAGGAGGCAAAAATTGTCATACGTATTTAATTGACGCCCTTTTGCTAAATGAAGCGCCGAGACCAAATACGGACCTGTGAATGGCTGAAAAATTTGGAAATCCAACTTGCTCTACATATTACAAAAATCAATCAAACAAATTATTTATAATTTTTTTCGCTGAAACATATTGTTTTTACAATTTCAACTGAATAAATAACATGTTTTTTATTCATATTTCGTCTGTGCAAACCTAAAGCACTGATAAAATCATAGTTTAAAATATATATCACGGCGTGACTTGGCCCTTACCATTATTGACATTAGCTAACTAAATAAATAAAACTATAAAACTAAAATGATGATATGAAATATACGTTATTATCTTTAATATAAAGTTTTCTTATTAATTCCATTTACAAAATTATATACTTAATAACAGACGATTGTAATAATTCCAAAAGCATTTTCCTTAATATCATACAGTTGTAGCAAATAATTAATAATCTATTTTGTTATCTGTTCTGATAAAGGGAATTAAAAAGAGATCGCTACTTAGATATAAGAGCGCTTATGGTTAAAAAAATACAATTACATCTTGATAGTACAATAGTTTAATTATATGTATTTACTAAATAACATAAAAATCTCATGATTTATTTTGTATACAAATAGATAAAACGATATCAAAATAATACACTTCATTCGTTATATTAAAATTGGAATACATGGACATGGATTTTGAGGGTATTTATCTCAGGATATGATTGACACAGTCAGAAAAAGACATGTCTGAAAAATTTAAACATTTCAAAATCCTTCAAGAATTGGTTTATAGGTAACAAATTTTGAATGGAATTTAAAATGACCCATTTGAAATATATATAAAACATTTATAATCTGAAATGGTCGACATCATTATTGCTGTGTTTTAAAGTAATTCTACTTAACAATCACTAAGTTACAGGAAGTATATGAGATAATTTAAAATTAGTTATGCAGATAACAATTATTGATCTATAATAACACATAATTATGATATTGTAAGTTAAATGTGTGTTTTCAATTTGAAGATCAGTCAATTTACGATGTCAACTTTTTTATATATTTTTATTGCCTAATATCAGATTATAAATATATAGGCACACAGATGTATAGAGCCTGTTCGATTATTGAGGCCGGTTAAAAAATCCTCTCTCCTCTTTTTTATGAATGCAATAGTATAGTGACCTTAGCTTTAAGGGTCCTTTAAGATAAGTGCCACAAAAAGCTGGCGTTGCACCTATCTTTCCAGATATAAACAATTATAAGTACTTCAACATTTTCCTTATCATTTTTAATTGTTATGTTATAGACAAACTTAATCCAGAATAATATTTAAAAATATTAAAAAATCATAATAGTCCTTCCTACTGTTGTATTCTTCTTCTTTTCAATTATTGGCTTAAAAAGAAGAAGAAGAATATCTTGTGGATTTCGCCAGAATCCAGTAAGAGATGTCAATAAAAAAGTCTATTGACATCTATAGAGGTGACATTATATTCTTCTAAAGGCTAAAGGATTTACGTGTATAGACCACAAACGTGACATTGGCGGAATTGTGTTAACGCAAATAGGCCATGATTTAAAAAAATGAAGAAGAAGAAGACTAAAGGAAACGTTGGAAAGAATTTTCTGTTTGGACCTTTAACTTAACATTCTATTTAAATTCTGAATATTTCTATTTACTATAGTTTTCACAAACAAAATATTATGAAATAAGGATTAAAGTAAAAAAGGATTCTTTCTAATAGTTCATGATTTGTGGTTAAAAATATCCTAATAATAACCAAATATTGCTGTAGACGCAATTAAGACTTCAAGTTTATATACAGTAAATTCACATGTGCTGTCGAATATATTCATTACAAAATTAAGCCTCATCACTCAAATAATATGGTCGTAATTAGCTTAAAATTTACATGCCGTTGTAAGCTGGGCCGCCGCCGCCTTCCGGCACCACCCAGTTAATATTTTGTGATGGATCTTTGATATCACACGTTTTACCTATACACAAAGAAATATATCATTGAATCAAATTTCAGTAATCGAATAAAATTAATTTTATTTATTTAGTCTAAGCTATATGGAAATTATTAAAAAAATGAGGAGCTTGATGCCATAGTAGTTAGCATACGGCTGTTAAGCAACTTTCGCAAGGGCCTGTTAATTAATGGGTGACCAAATTATACTATCTCAAACTCATCTGTGCTTCCGTAGGCACGTTAAGACGTTGGTCCCAACATCTGTAGTCGTTAATACCCACAAACCCACTCTGGGCCAGCGTGGTGGATCAGGGCCCGTTCTCCAAATTCAATTTTGGTTTGATTGCATCCATAGAGCAGGCCTTAGCCCCAGCATTGGGGACATTAATAGGTTGGCAACGCTGATGATTTACAATCACTTGCGAAAGTCGAAAATGTTAGCCATTGGCCCGCGAATCTACATCGGGATAACTTATATTGAGAATAGACAAGAAACTAAGCAAAGGCTGTTTTTTATATACATATCTGCTGTATCCTCAATAAAAATAAAAAAAATATATAATACCAGATAATTATTAAAACGTTAATTTGAATATATATGAACATATATTTTTACATTTTGTTTTTATATATGATATATAATAAAATGTAAAATAATACTAGAAGGTAGATCTGCCTTAGCTATATATCTTTTGAATTTCTATATTAGAGTGCATGTATGTAAATTATGTTTGTAGATTTTACTTACAATGGATGCAGTTTTGTGCGTTTATTTGAAGGCGCTGCCCGTCACCAGTCTCCATCGGCACAAATTCATAGACACCTTTAGAAATTACAGAAAAAAAAATATTTGTTACTAGCTTTCCGCCAGCGGATTCGCCCTAGCGAACTGTTTATTTGGATACCGATTGATGTATATAATTACAATGAAAAATTGATTAGTAAACAATGGTTACTATGGCAACGGTTTTAATTCCCTTTACAAACTTTCACTCCCATTTTCATCCCTTTATTTGCCGTTTTCGGGATAAAATATTCACCGCATATGATGTAGTTTCCCGTAGATGAAAAAATTTTGCAAATCGGTCCAGTAGTTTTGTAGCCTATTCGATGCAAACAAACAAACAATTAAATCTTTCCTCTCTTTAATATTAATATAGAAGTATAGGTATAGATAGTAAAAAAAATTCAAGTTAAAACAAGAGATTTTGCGAGTTGCACGAGTACTCACCAGCTGGACAGAATCTTGCTTCAGGTCCATCAAATACTGCTAGATTCCTCTTTACAGGTATCGAGTCATCCTTTAACGTCAAATGCGGAGGCTGATCCGATTCATGGTTTGTACCTGACACAAATACAAAATTATTAAAAAACACAATCTAAAAGCCTTGCTAATAAATTTTAGTGTTTTGTCTCTTTCACTCAACTTAAATCACATTGGAATGAAGTGAAAAGTTATGATTTTCACAATAAGTAAACCTAATTACACTAAAAAATATATCTAGTGTCCCTCGTTTCATTATTACTTTTGGCTATATTTAAAAAATATATATTATTTCCGTTTGTCAATGCATTATTACAACATAAATGTTTTTTTTTTTCATATATTTTTTTTATCTCAATATTTACATATAAAATGATCTTTTCTAAAAAAATCATGCAATTAATTAACAAACTAAAATTATTATAACAATATTTCGATAGGTTATTCAAAAATATTTCAATGATTAATAAATATTTTGTGCTATCTATACTTTTTATTTTCATGTGAGGTCACGCGGGTGTTACTTATATAAGGTTGCAGCAATTAGCAATTCACGATACTTATACCGTATGTATTTATTCTCCCTCATTTAAATCGAGGTACAGGTAGGCTTCACTACATTCTCCTAATATATCAATTAGTATTATAAAAAAATATGAAATAAAAGCCCTTGCTTGGCGAATGATGATGTTATATCATAAATATAATAAATCTTGCTCTGAGTATTTTATTTATAACTACCTGTTAGGGCTACAGATGAGAGCAGATCGAATGTTATAACACCATCTGGTTTCGGATACTCGATGGGGGTGCACTCCTTTGCCGGCTTCAATTTGGCATGATCCGCACCTGATAATGATGATATGGTTATTTAACGACATTTTAAAAATTCTGTATTCAAAATACGGTTTAATTATTATTTTTATATTAAACGAAATACTTGAATAAACAAACAACGTCCTCAGCTTCGTACGTGATAAATCTTGCGTAGGAAATTTTCTATCAAACACTGAAAACTGTTCTGTCTACAATGCAGAAGTCAAGCAACACACGCAACGACCAGTCTTAGGATGGGTGACAAAAATGTATTATTCGAGCCCCTCTGTTCTTCGAAAGGCACGTTTAACAGTTGTTCCTAGCTGAAACTGCTGTCGCAACCACCAAATCACATTAGGCCCACATGATGGGTTACGGGCCAATCGCCCTATACTCCATTCACTATAACATTAGAAAAAAGAGGGTCATAGGAGCAGCAGTGCAGAACATTTTATTTTCAAGATAAATTTAAAAAATATATATTAGTTTTGTTGAAACTTTGAACGTTAAGTAGTCTGAAAGAGTTGGGCAATTTTCCATTTTTTATGATACCTCGGGGTTGAGATGAGGTCAGCATTTTATAAATTCATCTTTTAGTCCCAAGCCAACATGGAACTAAAACTGAAACTATCTGTGTGTTTTGATAAATTCTAATTGTAATTGTAATTATAATATATATTAGTTTTGTTGAAACTTTGAACGTTAGGTAGTCTGAAAGAGCTGGGCAATTTTCCATTTTTTATGATACCTCAGGGTTGAGATGAGGTCAGCATTTTATAAATTCATCTTTTAGTCCCAAGCCAACATGGAACTAAAACTGAAACTATCTGTGTGTTTTGATAAATTCTAATTGTAAGTGTAATTTGTTAGACTATTGATGAAGACATTGGAAAAACTCCCTGAAATGTCAAAGTTTGAGGGTAGGTATGGGGGCTTAGAGCGTAATTTTTGTAGGCCACTCGGGCCTGCACCGGCATCCTCCATATTTACCAAAACTTAACAACAAAAACAAAACAATAACATCACGGAAAACGGCAAAACAACAAGAAAGTATTCACAATGGATGACAATCCCAGCTTACGATTTTAACAACTATGAATAAATAATAATCTGACAAAATTAAAAAGCTGTACTACCGTTTGAAGGAGTTAGGCAACGTTTTAAATTTGGTAGAGTTATAGTGACATGAGAATCGTGCCGAAACTATCCAACCCTGCTTGTTTAGGTTCTTTATGATGAACACTTTATATTGTAATAGTTATTAAATAATTTAAGTTAGTCATATACTCATAAATTTGTTTAATAGATAGCTTAAATGACAACAGTTAACTATAGCAGCTGGTATTTAAGTGGATATGTAGCAAATTAGCCGTCAGTCTTAAAAGTAACATGATTATTGATATTTTGTCACAAAGTATACCATAAAAAGAACCTTATTTAACTTCTGTCTAATGCTATAATGAATGGAGTATAGCTGATTCCATAAATGGGAAAGATCTGTGCTTCAACAATTAGAAGGCTGATAAAAGTCAAACTTTTTACCTCCATGACTAAGTGTCCACGGCTCCTTGCCTCGTATTAGCGTAGAGAAGGCAGAATATGCGACGCCACCGTACAAACCTAACTTGGTATGGAAGGAAGGTCTGCAGTTTCTCACTTGCTACAAAACAAAAACAATCAAAAAATCAATTTCGATAAAAAGAAATGAGGTCTTTAAATATATTTTTCCTCTGCTCATCATCATCTTAGTTCCCAGTTAATGTATGATCGACAAAGTTTGTCCTGTTTTTGCACACCTCTCTGTCAGCCGTCATCTCATCGTTCACTCCCTTTCCTCACACACTATCCACATTTTATATGATCTTCTTGCTCTCAATACATCTTCATCGTCTTCTCAACTATCATCGTATTAACATTCATGTTATCTCTTCTTATATTATGGCCCGGTAAAGACCAAACGCTTTCCTTTCAGTTTATCTGTTACTGGTGCCACATTCAAACTCCATTTTAGATACACATTCCTTAGTTTATCCATTCTCGTCACTTCAAGCATCCCAACATTCTCATATCCACAACATGCAATTTTCATTCATTCATTTCCTTCACAGGTACATTGAGACAGATTTTATCACATATTAGTAAATCTCGCCCTTTAACTTGAATAACATCTCATTTTACCTTTAAAAGCTATTAAGTATATACCTTCAAGTCCTTATAAACATATGAGTTCTGAAGTTTCTCTGAATAAGCGGTCGGTACCACTCCACTGTCATGGGTCGCTTCACCCTTGATTATGAGATCCATTGCTGTTTCGGCTGCCAACATTCCTATACAAAACATATTAAACAATATTATGTTACCACTACTTCAAAGTATCAGTTTAAATATATATATATATATGATATATAATATATTTAAAAAATAATTTAACGAAATAATTGATTTATATGTTGCTTAAAAAATAATCCAATCCAAGCTAGGAAAGGCTCGCTAGAATTTGCTACATTACCACATACAACACATTTTATAAACATACCTTATTTATTACATATTAAAATAAAAGTAACTTAATATCAATTATCATTTAAATATTTATATATTAGCAGTCAATGATATTACATTGATCGCAGTGGGGGATCAATTGGCCGATGAATGACACTATGAATAATGTAATAGTACCTAATAAATACTATTTTTTAAACCAAAGGAAAAGTGTACTGTTAAGGACTTTATCGTAATCGGCCCATTAGTCGATCAATCTGACATCAATCAATGCATGATCTAGATCAGATTGATATGGATCATATATTCTTCTTCTGCATTTTGTTAATGGCGAACTTCACGCTACAACTATTTGACAACTATTGCATTCGCGACTTTTTTTTTAATGCATTTGTATGAATGATATCGTTTATATTAACGTTGATTGAAATTGTCTAAATCAAAAATTAGACGCAAATATCTTTAAAAGCTATTGAGAAATATCAAATGAAATGCTATAAGTAATATTTCGACGGGTTTAGGTAAGTTTTCGTTATGTTTCTTGATTATCAAAATCATCATTCATTCCTAAACCGGTAATGACATTAAAAACAACATAAACCTATGCTCAGCAGTGGGCGTCGTACGACTGTTGATAATAATGAAATCCATAAATCATTATCACAATCACTAAACCTTTGAAAAGGATTATTTTTTTTTGTGATAGTTTTTAAAATAAGAGAATTACCTTGCAGATTCGTCGTGTAATGACCAACTAAATTATGTGCACTGATCGGAGTAGGTAGGGCTTTTTAGATTCATTAACCGCAAACATTTATGTTAATATAGATTTTCTACGAGCTTTCGGCTGATACTGGGATTTAAATAGATTTAATTCTTTTTATCAATAACTAACTCAGGTCATACTCAGTCTTTTAGTAAAGCTGAAGATGAACCAGACCAAGAAAAAGACCAATGAGATTTTTTTGTTTAAACAAGTACAGTCTGTCAAGTAAGAGCGTGGTCGACTTTACCGACGAGTAATGAAAGATTTCACTCTAATTCCTTCGCAAGCCGATAGAGGGAAGCTTTTTCCTTGATGAATTGTCAACAAAGGTTCAGTTGTCGTTGATCTTTTGAAAGAGAATCTCGTTAAACGCCATGAGTGCTAAGTACGCGTCGCGCTATGAGGCTGTATTCCTTTGCATCCAACCGAAAGGTCCCAAAATGTCGCAATCAGCGGCTGCTAAATATATGAGAAAGTCGAAGGCATTTGTACAGAAGTGGATATAGCGATATAAAGTGGCTAAAAATGTCCAGAACGTGGTCCGATAGAAAAAGTGAACAAAAAAGATGAAAAAATAATAGTGACTCTGTTTTCGCGGAATCCTGCTTTAACACTGCGGCAAGGACAAGCAAAATAATGGCAAAAGGTTAAGATATATCCTACGAAACTATCCGAACACTTCTTCAAATTCATGATCTGAAATGGCACAACACAATGAAGAAGCCTCTGTTGACTGAAAAACATGTGACAAAGCGACTCGCTTGGGCGCATGAGAATATTGATAGATATTTTGAAAATGTCATTTTTACTGATGAATGTTCTATATGGCCACGTTCTGTCCTCGCGCGAGCCTGGTCAACTTCCATCAATAGGCTTGTTCAGCGGAGCGTAAAACATGGAATAAAGGTGCATCTTTATCCGAAAGTACAAAGTGCCGAATCCCTGCTTCTCAAAGCAGGGATTCGGCACTTTGTACCTCTTTACTGATAACCTAAATGCCGAAAAAATTATAAAAATCTACAAAAAGGCTTTACTGCCATCTGCCAAACGATGGTTCATCACAAAAAATGAAGATTGGATTCTGCAGGAGGACAACGATCCTAAACACCGCAGCAAGCTCTGTACTCAGTGGAAGACTCAATCTGGCATCGTTACATTGGATTGGCCGTCGCAGTCGCCCGATGCAAACCCTATTGAAAATGTGTGGGCATATATTAAACAGAAGCTTCGTGGAAGACGCACATACACTTTGAAGCAGTTGTCTTACGAAATTCGTCGGATCTGGAGATCCTTGCCACTAGAATACGCCGTCAAATTAGTAGAAAGCGTGCCTCGGAGATGCCAGGCAATTATCGACGCCGGTGGTGACTGGACACATTATTGACCAAATTGCATCATTGTTTGTAATGTGTACAATGTATATATAAATATGAAAGTTACATAATTTTTTTTTATAAATTAACACGACCACGCTCTTACTTGACAGACTGTAAATTATTGTTGAAACGTGTTGAACATTATAATGAAGATTTTACTGTCATTTAAATTATTCTTCTTTGTTCTGTTTAATCATATTTAGATTTTTGAAAAACACATAATTTGTATGGTAATTTGTTCTTGTACAATATCAGTAATTGTTAATCCTTGTATTAATAAATATAAAAAAAATTGTTACATAAAAAAATATATGTGATTTGATGAATCAAGTTTTAACTTATTTATCTATTTATTGTACTATCCTTAAACTTAAACCTGTACTTCTTATACCCATTGGAGAGGAAATGTATCCTTTCCCTTCTCCTTAAGACATAAAACCTCTTTTTTCCTACTAAAAAGCAAATCCAGGGAATATCCATATCATTCTAACATATGGCAAGTGCAAAAAATAGCTCTGCCTACAACGAACTATTTAAGTGTTTTACGGTGAGTTGCACAAACGTCCAATAAGGCTTAATGACGGCTTTAAGCTAAAATGAATGTCAAATTTGTATCGGTAATGTCACTTTAAAATAATGACAATTTTAATGCACGTTTGTGCAACTGGCTGATAGTATACCTGACTTGATGGCGTTATGTGTGCCCTTGATCTTGGGCACGTTGAGGAATCCAGCGCAGTCCCCGGTGAGCACCGCGCCGGGGAGCGTCACCTGCGGCAGGCATTGCCAACCGCCCTCCACCAGAGCACGCGCGCCGTACGATATACGAGTGCCACCTTAACATAACCACAAACACATTAAAAAAAATATATAAAATATACATTAAAAAAAATATCAGCCTCGTGTCCTACAAGTGAAAATACAGGTTTCTGTTATATTTTCGAAAAATATGAACCATTTTAACTTATAAATATTTAACTAAATAAATTTTATGACACTTATTTGGAAAATATTACAATTTGAAAAGGGGGTGTCCATTAATCACGTGAGGCTCGAAAGGGGGGGAGGGATTCGTCAAAAATCACGAAATATCACAAGGGGGTGGGGGTGTAGTAATATATCACGTGTATTTATTTTTTCCTCGACGCGCGATTATTAAACCGAAAAGCGACGTCAAATATTAAGAATTTTTGTTTTTTTTTAAATACACGTGATTTGGTTGAAGGAGGGAGGGGGTAGTCTTAAACCTCACCATGTATCACCAAGGGGGGGAGGGGGTCAAAAAATGTTGAAAAAAAAACATCACGTGATTAATGGACGGCCCCAAACTTGAAATAAGTAAGGAAAATATAACACCAAATTTGCTAGAATACATATAGCATTAAATTAGTAACATAAAACGGAACAAGTTTCATTGTAAAAGCTATAAACATAAACAAAGATGTTACAAATATTGCCCAGATGCCCATACGTTATTCGCTACTATAGCACCGTGTGACGTCACTTAGTGGCTTGAATTTATAGGGAGCATTTGCGACCGACTAGCAGCAAAGCACCGTGTCTACGAAACTATTAATCGCAGATATGCAGTTAATCCTATATTATTTCTCAAACATTAACGGACTGTTTACTTTTAAAATAAAAGAAAAGTTGACAACTAGAAAAAATATTCACAGGTTTGCTACCATGTAGTTTATGGCGACGATATTTCAACACTATCGCAAACGCCACGATCACGGGGTATAAATATCGAGTAATTTATTAAGTAAATACCTACAGGTAAAATTGATGTGTACATTAAATGATATCGATACGTTTTTAAAATAAAATTCATATAAACTATGATGTTGTTAAAATATAATTGTCCGTTCAAATCCAATACAGTCTTATGAAATAGAATAAATTCACTCAATTCAAATACAAACTAATATATAATTAAATTATTATTTTTGTAGTACTTTTTTATTACGTCATAGAGCTCGTGAAAAGTATTCTCTTCTGGAATAAAGCCTGTCTTTGTTTATAAGGCGTCAAAATATCAACTTATTATATAAGTGCATGTTTGGACCTATAGAATTTTTTATTTCACCAGTCTTTTACTATTATTAATTATTACTAATAGAGTAATACCCTAAAAACTCAAGTTTAATGAACTTTGCATGTATGTGTGTGTTTTTGCCACGCAATATGAGCTTAGCTTATGTCTGTACAGTATTAGAAGTATGTGTGTCTTAATATTAAAATATTTTTTTAATTTAAACTATACAATTCCTTATGAAATAGAAATGAGCTCAACCATAATAAATGATTCGCCAATTTAATTGCCAATACAAAATTATATTTTAATTATGAGAAATTAAAAATCAATTAAGGTCGCATAAAAAAATTAAAGTTACAACATATTATAGAAATTATTGTTAATAAGTATTTACGTCACATGGTTGGTCAAACTTAAATCAATTTTAATGTAAAGTATGATATACTAATGAGTGGGAAGCGGCAGGTGGTTGGCCAACATATATCGTAAAGCAGGCAATTAAAAAAAATATCATATATGGCGCTCGATGATGCCCCTAGCCGCCTTAACTATTCAAGAGTTGCTATCTGTGTGCCTCAACCTAATGAGTAATCTTGATATCTGTCCAATCATGGACCTTCTGCTTTTATTTCAGCAAAGTTAAATGTGATTGTGTAAAAAGAGGAGCTCGTTGGCGTAATAATTAGCCCGATTAACCTGCGATTTACTACGGTTGTCAAGCTACTTTCGTATAGACCAGTCATAGGATGGGTGACCGAAAATTTAATATCTCGTGTTTTGGAAGGCACGGTAGGCTATTAGTCCCGGCTACATCCACAGTCGTTAACACCCACCAATCCAACTAGGCACACTTGGTGTCATGGCTCATTCTCCCTATTCAATGTGATTCGATTTCATCCATAAGAAAGACCTGAGCTCCATCAGTGGGAACATTAATTGACTAGTAAAAAGGCATATAAAAAGTTCATGTATATTACACCAAAGTTTTTCATACTGAAAAATGTCTATCCTTAAACTATGCAAAAAGGGGACAAATTGACATTCGCACAGCATGAAAGAACGGACAGAACTACTTAATAAGCTTGATCATAAGCTGTATGTCTCACAAAATCCTTACAAAACACCATTACATGTAAGGACATCCTTATTATGTAAAGTTGAGTCTTATTATAGAACAAAGACTAACCAGGTTTAAACCATTATCCCACCAAAATAATAAAAGATGTCTCTTTCTGACATTTTCTTTTGTGCCATTGCCGATTTAATTTGGGCGGCCAATGGTTTGACCCCTGTGCTAACTTTAGTCCTAATAATACGGTTACAGTTTTGAAAAAACAAATAAAATAATAAATAAAGCAATTTCATCACAGAGTTAATCAACATTTCTGCCACTTCGCAATTTAATTTTCCCCACCACCTACTTTTCGCTTAGCTTCGCGTTAGTGTATATGTCACAGCTAAAGTAAAAAATAGAGATATCTATAATTTCTAACTATAATGCATAATATCTATCTTATTTCAATATAGTTATGAAAAAAGCTGAATTTATCACATTATCTTATTTATATAGCATGTATAATTAATCTAATAGGATTTGGATGGAGTAATAATCAGTGCACAATTATTAAAATCTTGAAAAGTATCACAAGGAGTTGAACATTTTAGTACTAAAACAGACGACATACAACATATCCTCATGGAACATTAACATGTTCCATGTTCCATTAGGATACTTTAAGAGGAATAGGTATAAATATGGTCATACAACAAAAAGGAAAGGTGTACTGAAACGCAAAGCGTAAATAAGCTTGACTAAACTACATTGCTAATATCAAGCAATTGTTTAATTTAACAGTAGGTCAATTGAACAAAAATGGCTAGGTTAGGTAAGGTAAGAACTATGACCACAACGCCTATTCAACTTATAAGTTAGAACCTGAACAAATCTGAACTCTATGACTTTCCCATTAGTTTCATTATGTATTTACTACTTTCGCCAGCAATCCAAATCAATCTGGCCCTCTAACACAGAAAAGATTTTTCTAGTTTTTAGACTGCATTGGAAGCCTCTATGGAGATTTAAAAGAGAGTGCACTTTATTTATAACTTATTTCAAGAGTATCATGTAGCTAGGGACAGAGTGATAATATTTATATTTTTTTAATAATAAGTCTCTATTGTGTACTTGAATTTGAAACTGGTCTAAGTAATTAATCCAAATACCTAGCCAACACATTCTTTCTAAATGTAATATATAGCCTTCTATAAAAAGTCGAACTAAACAAACCCTGCTCTAGATAAAGTGATTAATTTATCACATTATCCAATTAGTTTAGTAATGATCCATATTTAACGATTATATATAATCGTTAATTGTTCACATTAGCTTTTAAATATTCTTTGGCATAGCATTACTTACCCTCAAATAACGGTTTGATGTACGGATGCAACTTGAACCGCTGGAATTCTTTGAAGGGGCTAATGTATGGATTGGAATAGTCCAGGCCTACGACGAAGCCGACCGCCACCAGCGGGGCTTCGCCCTCGGGCACGTTCAGGTGATATATAAACGAACCACCGTATGTATTCTTGTCTAGAGGCCAACCAATAGTGTGCTCTACTAAGCCCGGTTTATGGTTCTGCAAACAGAAAATTACTTACTTTGGAAAAATTTCATACGCAAATCCATGTACTACAAAATTTACTACAAAATTTACACAATTAATTTTGAACTTAAGTATCAATATTTTAAGGCTTCAAATATATTAAAGATTTTTTCGAATTTTGTCCTAACCAAAAGTGCGACCGCATAACTCTAGCCATAGGATACAACATCTTAGCTTACTATTTTAATATTACATTCAGAATATAAATGACTAAGTTGGTGACTGTCTAATACATAATCTTTATCAAGACAAAAAATTATTATAATTCGTCCGTCGTTATTAAAGTACATGGAACTTGTTCAGGAAATAGGCTTAGAAATAGTATTTATTACTCTTCCAGCTGAATTTGTAGTTTGTTTAATTTCATTCAAAATAAAACAAACTACAAATATAACATATCAAATATAGAACTAAAAATAACAACCTACCTCAGGTTTGACTTCCCATAGCTCTTTCAAACCGATACCATAAGACTGTGGTTCGCTCTTCTCTCTAAGATTATATTTATTTGATACCATTTTAGTCAAATGGCCGTGACAACCTACAAAACAGAAGAAGTTTACAGTTATTTCACCAAAGAAATAATTTGATTTTAAAATTAATTTCCTACTTTAGTAGTATACTCTCACGAAATCTCGTACAATTAACTCGAGGCCCTATTCTATTTGTACTCAAACAAATATTCAGGTCAAATCATTATAAAATCATATTCGTGAAGATTTCTCGGTGCTTCCGAGGCAGGGTCGTGTTCTACCTCTGTTGCACCATAAATTTTTGGGAAATATATTTATTAGCATTTCGAAAATAGGAAATGAATTGTTTTCAAAGAAATAGAATTCAATTGTTATGTGAATTGATAATATTCAGATCTGGTTAATTAACCAAGTTATAATTATCAGAAATATCTTAATTAGGTTGTCAATCTAGTGTAAAAATACATTATTATATCATTAAAACAATGACTTCATAAATTAATAATGAAAGACCATAATTATAAAAGGAATGAAAAGACCAACAAATTACAAGTTAAAAAAAATATTTATTCCATAAATATCTTTTGTTATTTAAAATATATTAAAAGATATATTCTTGATAAATCAATATAAAAACGAAGACAAAGAGTTTTATATGTTCATGTTTATATTGATAATAAAAAGAAGGAAGATTTGATTGTTTATTTGCAACGAATAGATTCCAAAACTACTGAACCGACTTTAAACATTCTTTCACCTATAAGAAGTAACACCATATGTGGGTGATAGACTACAATTTACGCGCTCGAGGTCAGAAAAGTCATATATAAAATCAAATAATACAAATTTTACACTGACCTTCAGCGAAAATGGTGATCTTGGAATTAAACTCCATGCCCCTCTCGAAAGTGTCTTTAGGGCTCCCGTCCTTGGCGATGCCGACGTCGCCAGTAGCCACGCCACGCAGTGAGCCGTCTTCGCGATATAATACTTCAGCACCCGCACATCCCGGCCAGATCTAATCACATATATAACACCCGTAAAAATAAACACATTTACTAACCTCCATTTCATTGTAAACTACTCGATGAGATTAACAAAATATTATCCAATGTATTTTTTTTTTTCAATTTAGAGAAATATCCTCAATTCTTTACCTCTGCCCCAGCTGCCTCTGCTTGCTCTCCCATCCAACGAACTAAATGTCCTAGTCGTACTACATAGTTGCCATGATTATACATGGGTAGTCCTGAAAATGTTTTCAATATTTATGTACAATAAAGGTTTTCAAATCACATGAAATTTCAAATAACCACAAAACTAAACATTCCATATATGAACTTAAAGAAACTATTTGACTTCATTTTATAAAACCTGTAAAATAGTGATTTTCATAGCCTATACTGGATTGCTATGGTTATACACTGCATCTCATTTACTTCATTCAACTTATGTTCATATCCATATTTTTCTTTGCTAATATTAGATATTGTGCATGTCTCATACAAGACTACTTAAAAATATATTTAAGTTCCAAACCTTTAAAAACCTACCTGGAAAAACAGGTATTGGTATTCTTCCAGTCTTTGTGAGTAGACCAAACTTGTCGGCATTGACTGGGGTATTCATTGGAGCACCTTTCTCTTTCCAATCAGGTATAAGTTCATTCAAAGCAATTGGATCCACGCATGCACCAGATAAAATATGGCCACCAATTTCTGCAGCCTTCTCTAGTAGTGTCACTCTCACCTCCTATAACAGATATAATTGTAATTTTTTACCCAAACAACCACATATGACTCAAACATTGTTTTTGATTTATTTAAGAACCCAATAATATTCTCTTTTCCCTCAACATCTTGTACTTCATGGTTTAGTGCCAAGATGAAAAACATATCCATCATGTAAACCTACCAAACACAGGAAGTGTTAATGACATTAAAATAATATACTCACAGCCCCCTTTTCTTCGGCAATCTGTCGAGCTCTGATTGCAGCTGCCATTCCTGCTGGACCTCCTCCAATAATTAAAATATCTGTCTCCTCTACCATCCGTTCCATGTTTATTTCTAGAAACATTTTATTTTACTATACCAAAATTTCATATAGTTAGTATCTAATTAAATACATAGATGTTATTATACTGCAAAGAACTTAGAACTAAAAGTAAATGATAACGACAAAATGTACTCCTCAACAGTGGATAATTTTCAATTTCATATTGAAAGTATATATTAATAGATTCTCAAAAATAAAGTTTAAAAAGATTTATAACATTATATTTTTGAGAATCTATTAATTTATACTTTCAATATGAAATTGAAAATTATGTAGTTGAATATCAAATAGATTTCATTTAAAAATATATGAATAAATAAATAGAATATTGAAATGTGAATTTTGGAAAATGTATAAATAGTTGTATGGAAACCAACATTATAATATTGATCTAATTTTCTTGCAGCATTATTATTATTTTTTGTATGCTCATTTCAAGGTTACCAGATGATATTGAAAAATGTATCTAAGCAGTTATCTCGTGACAATAATTATATACAAACAAGACCAATGATAGCATCAGATTTCTGATAAGACTTTAGGTTTTGGTGATATTAAAGGTTATCAATGCTTACCTTTCCATCTTGGGTCTTTATCTCTAGGATGTATCGTATAATGTGTTGTTATTTTAGGATAAACATCAGAATAAAGTCTTCTAGCGGCATTTGTTAGCCTCCCCACTGTCAACAAAGTTTAAATTGATTTCGAAGTTGATGCCAAAACAAATGAAGTTTGAACTTTGAACTTTAGCATTTGCATGTCCATTGCATAATCTAATATATGTATAATTGTACTAAATATTTATTTTATGTTATTTAACGTAGAAATTCATCGATTTGAACATTACATATAATACTTGTATCGTACATATAAAATCAAAAACAGCTGATAGGTAACTAATATCTTGTAAAGAGATTATTTAACAGAAAACTATTTATTCGTCAAAATATTTGAATGGAATATTTATTATTAGAATATATTTTATGAGAATCTAATACTTTTATACATAAATAAAACAAATAAAAATAATTTATTTACCCTGACGAGCCGAACTAACGAGCGCCACCGCCATTTTTATGACAACCAACTGACAACAACTCAGTCAGAACAACACGTTCCATTTTAGAGTTGTTCAAAGCAGCTATCAAGCTTTAACGCGCTGTAAACTAAATAATAAAAAATAGCGTGCTAATTAATGTGCCAATTTCCAACGCGCTATGATTACATGTCGATCATTGAACATCACGACGCGTGCTAACGCGTGTTAAATTAACTATCTAAAATTAAATAATAATTATTACTATTACTACTTTTTAATTAATGTAGAAGATAAAATACTTTTTAATTAATTTGCAACTATTTTGATTTTAATGTTGTTCCTCGATGTAGGTCCAATCAATGCTGTTTATATTTGTGGAATAGGAGCCTGTATCTGAATGCTCACTTTTTACTGCTTGTTTATGATTTTTCATATGTAACAAATAAAACAAATATTTTTTTATAAACAACCTTCACTAATTTTTTTTGTTATATTTATTAATCGTGTAATATTAAAGGATAATAAATTAAAGGGAGGAAATAAGGAGAGGAAACTTTTTATGACGTATGGTCTTGGGGCTTCTCCGTGTAAGTCAGACCGACCTATCATATAGCAATGTAAATTTGGATTAACTTTTGTGTAAGCTTTGTGTTTTTTAAATTGAGTAAATATATCTTTTTGTTGTAAAGTGGTGTCTTCGATGTTGAATATCTTCTAATGTCATTCATATTTTGCCATTTGATGTGAATTAATAATATTGTGTCTTAGTTAGTAAAAATAAAATTAATAATTGTATTTTGTGTAGTGATCCTTGACAGTTAACCAGTTTACTAGGCTTTGTCGTTGTTGGTTACTCAGTTGAACGACGTTTACCCGTTCAAATTATTAAGCTATGCAATTATAAGGCTAGCCACCTAATTGAACGGCGGATGTTTTAACCAGTTTGTGTAACATATACATTAGAAATTAATCTCTTTTTTCATTTATTTACTTAAAATCTACTCAACTTAAACTGAAAAATATACTGCTATAAGTTTAAAAGTCAGCTAAGTTATTTTATTATTTATATCGTTCTTTATCTATTTATCATAATTATTTTCTTTTTTTACACACAATTTCCTTCATTTAAACTAAAAAAGCTTTACTTTTAAAAAGGCGACTAAAATACATTGATTTATATCATTCTTCGTGGCAAGCAAGTAGAACTAAATATGAAATATGCTTGTTAAAACACTTTGATATATTTTTTACTATGTTATATCAAGAGCTAGGTGAACGATGAGCGTCGATTTTTTGTTGAATCTTAGTGGAAATTCTATTATCAATTATATTGCAATTATTTTTTTCCTGGAGCTAATATTTCTGTCGTAAATTTCCAGTCTACAATATGCCCACATTAATTACTAATTGTTAATTATTGTTGCTGTTAGCAATGGAAACATTTTACAAGTATCATATGCTGAATCATTTTCTAATATATAAAAATAAATAAGCAAATAAATTCATCAACTATTTATTTGGGTATGTCTGAGTATGTACATTATTATTGATTCTCTGAGTGATCAATGTGAATAGTTTAATAGTTCCTCACTAATATTATACAAGCAAGTCTGTGTATCTGCCTGTTACATTTTCTTTCCTAAGCCAGAAGACCAAGTTGAATTTTAGATATAACCTTTTATTATGATAAAGGGATAAAAAGACAAAACCATAAAACCAATATATTCACCGATTTAATTTGATATAATAAATAAATACACATTTTTGGAATTTTGCCGAAATTAATGTTACGGAGCTACGGGCGCTGCCTTCTAAAACGTAGCGCAATGTTTCGTAGTACAAATACAAATATAACTACATTGTTAATAATACCTATACCTAATCTTGTCATAAATAATGTTACATAAAAAGTCAACATTTGTTTTTATTGAACGTAACATTTTTTACTATTACAGTATGTTAATTTAATAAATTAAAATAAAGTATTATCAATATATTATATTTATAGCTTATTCGAAGTGGTCTCCATTGGTTGTAATACAGTAATATTAATATTAAGGCCAGTTATCAATAGACGCACGACTCTGTTCATACGATAATTCTTAACTGCTAATCGTATGAATTATTTTAATTAGTTTTCTCCTCTTTTTAACCGACTTTAAAATCCAAAAGGAGGAGGTAATACCTACGTAAGAAGTCGATGTATGTTTTTTTAAACTAATTTAATTAATAACTTAATTTATATAAATTAATTTAATTTAGAAACTAATATTATAGATAAAGGATTTGATAATTTGTTTGTTTGCATTGAATAGGTTAAGGAAGTGTTGGTTAGATTAAAAAAAACCGGCAAAGTGCGAGTCGGACTCGCGCACGAAAGGTTACGCCCCGAAAACAAGCAAAAAATCTAGTTTGTTGTATGGGAACCACCTTATAAATACATCATCTATGAAAATCTCAACTGTTTAACTATCACGGTTCGTGAGATACAGCCTGGTGACAGCAATTAAAAACACGTTTGTTGTATCGGAGGCCCCTTTTCGATTTCGATAACATTTATATAAGGCCAGGCTCATAAGCTGTCTAATAAAAAATGAATTTTTAAAACCGGTGAACATACATAAAAAACATACATCACCATCGAACCTAATCCTTTACGATTTTGAAGTAGGTCAAAAAGACTAGGGCTACAAGAAAATTTTTGATTCATTAATAATCGTCGGTTTGATTTCACTAAATGATAGAATTTGACAGATGTTTAACTTTAATAAAATATTATTTTTATAATTAATATTTGCTTATCGCTAGATTAGGAGTTATCCAAAAATGAATGATGTGCAGTTACGAAACATTAAAAATAAAACTAGAATATAAATTATATTCGTGTATATTTATTAAAAATAAAATGATACGAAATCTTAAAAGAGAAATGGTATAAACTAGTTCTGTTTACTTCACTGGTTTCATTTGCCACAAGCCGTCGTTGAGGTAATGGCAGTTCTCTATTCCCACGCCTTTATTCACTTTAGCTCTGTAACAAAGAGTTTCATCACTGTCTTGAATCTGTATCTTAACTTGGAAAATTAATCAGTAAGATGCTGATCTACTAAAGTCATTTTGTTGGACCTTCATTACTGCCAACAGATCATTTAGTCTATTACAAGCAAGGTAGCATAGCAGTCTAAGTGATAAATTTAATTGTTGAATATTAATTGTTACTTCATAGAAGGAGCACAAACAAAAATCCCTAAATGTTTTTTTTAATATTGGGTCCTTACATATGAAATTGGTGTTTGGTATATATATATATTAATTTAATCAAAATAAAAACCATTGTTATCTATGCACTTTTGCCATCTCAAAGGTATTTCACTGACCCCCTCACTAAAAAACCATTCGGGCGGTATCAATAAAATCTTTGAAGGAGATTTGCACTGCATTTGATTGTAATCTGTTGGAGCAAGGTCCGGGGAGTACAGTGGATGTCTTAGATATTCCAATTGAAGCTCTTCTAATTTGGCAGCCGTCTGTTGTGCAGTGTATGGTCTAACGTTGTCGTGAAGTAGCAGTGGCGTAGAGCGATTGACCAGCCTCGGTTGTTTAACAGCTAGTTTTTCCAGCATGGTTTACAATTACTGACAATAGACGTCTGCCGTAATCATCTGGCCAGATTTGAGAAAACTGTAATGAACGACACCGGCACTAGTCCACCAAACGCTAACTAGTAACTTTTTGGGGTCAATTTTCGCTTGGGGCAGGATTTGGCTGGCATGCCAGGTTCCAACCTGATACCCAATGGTAAAACGGGTATAGAGAAAGACCAGGGAGCTTTTAGATCACATGAGTTTATTTACCACCAAACAATATATACTTTATAAAATATAAACAGCACTGACAATAGTTTTACGAAGAGTCACTTTCAATATAATAACAATAGACGCGCATGTGCAGAACAGATTGCCTAAATGTCAATATTTAAATTTAAATTAATTAAGGAGACCTTAAACCAAGAAGGTCCCCCTCAACACAACCATTGCGATGAGCGCTTCCGATTATCGTAGAGAATCCACTTTTCATCACAGGTAATGATTCGATTAAAAAACCCTTCATTATATTGCCGGCGTGCCGGTTTGCTCAATTCGTGAGGTACCTTTCAAGCTTTTTAATCTTTCACAATCACAATAGCCTTCAATTCTTCTTCATTAACTTGGGTCTCCGGCCGTCCACGGGGCTTGTTCTGCAGGTCGAAATTTCCAGAACGAAAACGTTGGAACCATAAACGCACTGTGTTTTCTTTTACGACACAACCGCCATACACATCATTAACCTTTTGAGCACTGGTACCACGGTGGAACTCGTACTCGTAAATAACACGATATTTCAAATTCTCAATTTTTTATACTGGGTGACGTAAATAGGACAAACAGAAGAAAAAAAAACAAATGAATGCCGCCTAACGAAACACATATACACGTGTAAATGGCTGTATAAATTGGAATTTGGAATTCCCAACCAAGGAGGAAACGCCAGTACGACAAAACGCCAGTTTCATATGCAAGGACTAGGTTACTGTATTTTATAGCATATCGCCCGTGTATAGCGTGGTGAGTATTATGACAAGTCCAAATGTATATGTTACATAGTTATAAAGTTGGGGACAGCTCGGTGAGTCCTAGAGTGTGAGTGTGTGAGATTGCAATAGTCAGTGCAGGATATATATATATATTTATTCTAGATACGCAAGCACTTGACCACAGATCACCTGATGGTAAGCAATGCAGTGGTCTAAGATGGAGCTTGCCTAGAAGGAATCGATTCACTCTTGACTTGAAGAGTCCCAGATTGTATTTGTCCGGAAACAGCGAGTCCGGTAGCGAATTCCACAGCTTCGCAGTTCGCACGATGAATGTAGAGGCGAATCGCTTGGTGAGAGTTTGTGGAATCTCCACATTAAAGCGGTGACGCTTCGCAGTACCCCTGGTTGTACGATATTGGAAAGGGGACGACGAAATTAAGTAATGTAATTGCGATGCACACTCGCCGTAATGTAACCGATAGACCAGCGACTTTGCGGCGATGCTCAAGACTTTGTACTGTCTTTTTCCAAAGAGCGTCGCTTCCAATGAGCCCTTTGGCGCGCCTCTCGATGGTCTCCAACGCTTCAAGCTGGTATTTGGCAGAACCATCCCAAAGGTGCGAGCAGTATTCCATGCAGGACCGCACTTGCGCTTGATATAGTATAAGCAGCTGTTCCGGCGTGAAGTACCTCCGCACCTTCGAGAGGATACCGAGCTTCTTCGCAGCTAGCTGAGCTTTAGACTCAATGTATGAGCCAAAATTGAGCGTTGAAGATAAGTTCACACCATGAAGATCAAGGTGGTCCGTGACCGGTATGGTTACATACCGGAATGCGGGGGCCAGCATAAACGGCCTCCTTTTGGAGGAGAAAAGACACGCCTGTGTCTTGGTGGCGTTGAACCTTACCAGATTGGCATCGCCCCAATCGGACACTGCCTGGAGGGAAAGGCTCAGACGCTCAACCATTTCTTCTCTGCAAGACTGGATTTCAGCCGGGCTCACTCTCGGACTGGACATGTACCTCTCCATGACGGTGCTGTCGTCTGCATACCCAAAGATACCGGGTTTCAACAGATCGTTTATATGCAGCAAAAATAAGGTCGCAGAGAGCACGGATCCCTGAGGAACGCGGGCATTATTGACCATTTGGTCCGACGAGTAGCCGTCAACAACCACTCGTAGGGATCTGTCCCTCAAAAAGTTCGATATCCAGTCACATAAGCTATGTGGCAGTCCAAACGATGGAAGCTTGCTAATAAGGCCGTCATGCCAAACACTGTCGAATGCCTTAGAGATGTCCAGGGAAACAGCTAGTGCCTCCCCGTATCTCTCGATGGCCTCACTACTGATATGTGTGGCGTACACTAGAAGATCTCCCGTGGACCGATTTTAACGAAATCCGTATTGATGGTCACTAAGGAAATCATTGGATTCTAGGTACACCAAGAGCCTGCCGTTTAGGACGCGCTCCATGCTCTCGCAGAGTATGGAGGTGACAGATATGGGCCTGTAGTTGACAGGGTCAGCACGACTGCCCTTTTTGGGCACGGGCTGCACTTTAGCAACCTTCCACGATTTCGGCACAATACCAGTTGCTAGAGACAGTCTAAACAGGCGTGTCAGGACGGGAGACAACTCAGGTGCACAGGTCTTTAAGACTATGGCCGGGCTACCGTCAGGTCCACTGGCTTTATTCACGTCAAGATTACGCAGCGTTCTCACGTTCTCGTTCAACGAACCTCCGTCTGGTGAATGCTAGTTTCCGACATTTTCATCGGACCGCCTAGTGGTTGAGATGGAGGTTTAGCACCACCAACATCAAGACGCGAATTTTCCGCAAACAGAGATGCAAACAAGTTTGCTTTCTCTTAAACGGTGTGGGCCAGTGTACCATTAGGTTTCAGCAGCGGTGGCAGTGAGGGCGGCAGAAGTTTGCCTCAACAGATTTAGCTAGGGACCAGAACGCTTTACTCCCCGAAGGATACGAAGCCAGTTTGGCCCCTATTCAACTGATGATATCGTTGAAGCGAGCCTTCTGTAACACCTTCATGCAGGACTTGGCAGCGCTGTTGAATTTTCGTTTCCTCTTACGTATGTCATTTGCCTTGCGGTGTCGAGCATCAACCCAGGCCAGGTACGCCTCTTGCTTCAACGCTTCTGCGTATCCACATTCAGCCCCGAACCAAGGTTGTGCTTTGCTGGACATCGGTACGTCGGAAAACGGGATGAAGTATTCCATACCCTGTCGAAGTACTTTAGTCACATCGTCCGCGCACCTTGACGGATTGTTTGAGGAAAAACATACGGACTGCCAAGGATAAGATGCAAAGAAAGACCGCATCTCATCCCAATCTGCTGACTTGTATCGCCACAACCGCCGGGTGCCGCCAGGGCCGATGTTGGGCTGGTTGTAGTCCGACACAGATTTCACCACGCAGTGATCGGACTTACCTAAGGGAGCCGATACCGACACTGAGTATCGGTCTGGATTGGTTATCAGCAGAAGGTCCAAGCAATTGGGTGTATGCCCTTCGACGTCAGGTACCCGAGTAGCACATTGGACTAGCTGGGTGAGATCTAACGCTAAAGTTATCCTACGCGTCTCTCTAACGGCGTGGTCTGTTTTCCGGTATGGGAATAGACACGTCTCGTGACAGGCGTTAAAATTCCCCAGACACAAGTTGGGCCGTCGGATACGTCACTTGGGCAGCACTTCACTCAGGTGTCCGAATTCACTTCAAAAAGCGGCATCCGCTTAACCTTGAATTGGCAATAACGTTTCGTGGCATAAGTGAAATGAGTTTTGAAATGGCATAATAATAGAATAGCAGGGCCGGATGTATGACGTATCATGTTATACTCATACATCGTCCGTGGACAGCGCAGTGAGTCCTACAGCGAGGGTGTATTGTATTCACTATTCAGGGTCGGTCGTATCATATTATACTCACAAATTGTCCATGGAAAGCGGGGTGATCCCAAAGCGCGACCGTGTTGGTTGAACTAGTCAGGACCGGGCGCAGCGTGTTATACTTACAAATCGTCCATGGAAAGCTCGTTGAATCCTACAGCTTGACCATGTTACCTGCACTAGTCAGGACCGGTCGTATCACGTTTTACTCACATATCTTCCGTAGACAGCGCGGTGAGTCCTACAGCGAGGGCGTGTTGCTTCCCTTCAGCCATGACGGCGACCACCTGCGCGCGCGGGGCGTCGCTCATGCGCGCACCCGCACTCGTCAGCCCCGGACACATAATATTCGCGCCGCTTAACACGAAACGGATCGCGCCCTTGTCCACTTGCTGCATCGGCAGGAAGAACGGATCTGAAAATCATGTTCGCTCGTGAATATGGAAAAAAAGCTATTCTCTACTCCTGCACGCGTAGCATGACGAACGCGACAACGTTTTGTCTACACTCAAATGTCACTTTTCTCGGGTGCGCCCATACTATATCTCACTCTCGACCCGAGAAACTGACAAATGAGTGTAGACAAAGCGTTTCTCGAGTTTGTCATGCTACGCGTGCTGGAGTAATAAGCAGTCTTCTGCGGAAACGATACATATCATACATAATATTTGTCTATATATGTACATATATCTATTATTTGTTTTATCTTTTTTCTCTTAACGGTTATAATAATCATATTACTTCACTTTGTGTCACCCGCAGACATTTTATTCTCCCACAACCTCTTGGCTGGCTGGAAGAGATCTGATAGAGATATTCCCATCTTCTTTCACTTGACTCTGTTATGTATGTTTTTTGTTAGCAATAACTAGTATTATTACAATATATTCTTTCCGTCAGTACGAAAAATTATATGATCATAATAATTAAGTTTTATACAGATACATAATAATTGCTATCTTATTAATATTATAAATGTGAAAATTTCTGTTTGGATGTTTGTCCGTCAATCACGCCGAAACTACTGATCGGATTTTGATAAAATTTGGTATACAGATAGAAAGCTGACTTAGATAATAAGATACTTTTTATCCCACTAAACATTTCTCTAGAGACCACGTGGGCGAAGCCGCTAGCGAAAGCTAGTTACATACATATACATAAAACATGATAAAATAAATAGTATACAGATTATATCTATTACCAAGTACAATATAAGTACACCTTGAGGACAGGTCCTAAAAGAAAAGGCTTGTTGATGCGACTTCGCCCACATCTCAGTTAGTGGACATCTACGCCACTAATTGGTACATACGACATGAATTAAGTAGTATTTCGACATTTACAATTGCTTAAACCTAGACTGACTAAATGAATATGAATAGTGTCAATATGTTTTTTTTTAATATGGGACTATGTCGACCACTGAACCCAAAATATATTATTTTAAATTCACTTTTTCTCTCTAATACATACATTTGTGCAGGAGCCGCAGGGTAGGCATCCAGGGCCCTTCACGTTGACGAAAGAAGAGTAGTTCACCGGCGCTGTTCACCACAATCTCGATGTGATCATGACTGGAAATTAAGAGATTTTACTAAGTTTGCTTTGGAAAATCAACATAATCAGCTTGTCAATGTCCTCTCCCCCCTGCTTTCTCGTGAAATGTAGTAAGATGTAAGTAACCCTTTCCGTAGAAAGAGACAACGCCCGGCCCCCGTTTTAACGACAGCAAGTGCAACCGAGATCAACAACTAAACGTGGCTTCTTTATATCAAAGAAGTTTTAGTCTTAGCTGTAAATCCGTATCCTATATTCCTTGCTTGCTATTTGGCTATATCAATAGCTGAAACAAACCGCGTATATTGCGGCTAGCATTTCCAGTCTGCTAACGCGTGTGTTTGTTGTGGTTTCTATGTGTTACATTTTTATTTTTTATTGCATGTAGCATGACCAAGAGTTAAAAGTTGTCGTATTAGGTAATTTCAGAGAAAAATTTCTTGACATCAGCCCGTCATTAATATTAGATAGTTTTTAAATAATTAATTTCACAATTTATTTTAGATTTCAATACTTTGCAGTCGGTTCAGGCCGGTCTTTACCCATGGTGCGTAGGGTGCAACGCACACGGGCGCCGCACGTTGGGGGGCGCCGCACCAATGATCCCATTTTTATTTTATTTTATTAGGTCTACTTACAGTTTAATGCACTATTTGTAGTTTACAGATAATAATTACATCTAATTTAGAATTAGAGTACATAAACTAATTACAAGCAGACACCACTTACATCAATGCAATGTTTTAATATAGTATAGTGTGTCTTTCACTGATCAATTACAATATTTCTTATTTTACTAGGTGAGTCTAAAAAGATATCTATTTGATTGAGGATTCAGGATAGACGAGGGACAGCGGAGTTGGCACCAAAAACCATGGATCTGAAAGGCGGACATAGCAGTGTTATGAGTTTTCGAGGCACTTTTCGTGGCACTTTGAATTTAAAAAGAGAAAGTAATGGGGGACAGTTTATTTTACTCGGGAAATTCCCTGTAGCTGGGGGACGCCAAAGTACTGCTTGCACTTGGGTGCCTGTTGTGCTTAAGACGGGCCTGAGTCGGTTTTTAAGTGTCAGAAGTACTTAAGAATACTTTTCTCTGGAATCATCTATAAAACAACACTCCGTGCTCAATATTGTAATAAAATTGTATACCATTTGACAATCCTGAAAGTGTCCTTCTTCGGCAGAACTTGATCTATGTAGTTCTCTAGATGCGGGTACAATTCCAACAGCCGAGCACGGATTCCTTTCTGGACTGAAGATTTCAACTGCTGAACACCAGAAATGCTCTCTTTCTCATCAAATCTGAAATTGAGAAAAAAATGATTAAAAACACAAATATTTATTCTAAAAGAAAAGGGATCCTGATTTTTAGTTAAGAAGCTGCCAATCAATTTTTGCCAATTACTCTCGTGGTTTATGAAAAAAACGTGAATTTGAGACGGTTGATCGAGTTTGAAAAAAAGTTTGGCAATTTTTTTTTCTATAAGTAGGTAATATTAGGATTGTCCATATAGAGGAATCCAAGGAAGGGTCTATTGATTGCAGAAAAACCTACAGGTAAATTTTTTTTTTATGGAGGGAATGGGAATATCGCAAGGGAGGCCCGAGAGAACAGCCTTGAGAGAAGGCCTCAGGAAGTCCAGATGGAAGGCCTAAAATGTTTTAAGTGTTATTCTTTTATCACTCTCAAACAAAGGCGGCAAGGGGGATCGAATGACGTATTGCCGCATCCCCTCCTTCTGTGGGTACGGCACAGGGCTGACACCCCACCCGTACCCCGGCGAGACTAGCTCGCAGGAACGATCCACCGATTTGGAAAATGCTGTTATTCACCCAAGTCTTTTCCTTCCCGCAGAGAGCGACTCGACTCTCTCCCCCATGAGAGTAATCGCAGCGCGGATTGAGGCCGGACCCTCCTTGCAGGATACCGGACTCATCCATCGGCGTGAGGTAAGCCGCAGCGGCTTTTATCAGATAGTCCAACCACACTAACCTGCCTTCTCAGGGCGGATTGGTTGGAGAGCCCTAATTTGAGACTTAAGGTGCCTTCCCTTGCGTTATCAAAAAAAAAGGGTAATTGAATGCAAAAATATTGATCAGATTTAACGCTAATAAATTTCCCTGCTCTGTGACCTTAATAATGTGCCCTCCTTTGCGCCGCGTTGGTTAAATTGGACAGTCATCTGATTGATCTGATGCTTCGTCAAATCTTTTATATCAGTATTGAAAAGATAAATAACTGTATTTTATAGCTGACTCGGCGAGTCACGTACCGCCTTAAAACATTTTAAGATTTCAATAACAATCGGATTATGTGATACTATACCTAATCTTTCTAAGTTTCTAAGTTTAATAGCTATTGTATGTCAGTTGCGTATGATGTAGCTTTCTGTAGGTGGAAGAATTTTTAACTCTATCGTGTTTTGGAACCTATTCAATGCAAACAAAGAATATCAAACATCAATTGTTTGATAACCTTATATTGCTAAAAAATGAGTTACCTAAATCTTTTGACAACTGGAAACTACTTGTGTGTTCGCCGATTTTGATGGCTTATAATATCACCTTCCACGGCTTCAACTACATTTTTCCACTTGAGCGATCTATATCAGTTGTGTTATTCTTTTATCCAATATTGTTTCCACATATTCGAACCAACGGAGCTTGCCTCTGTACATTTTTGAGATAGGTGTTGTTTTAATATTTTCATCAGTTGCCATGGCAGTAACACATTTAAATATGATTGACAATGACATAGCCAAGAGGCATGTCGTTGGGCAATTACATTATTTACTTTATTACGTCGTTGGCAGCCAGCCCTGTATCGTACGGGCTGGCCTATCTGAGATGAGGGAGATTACTAATGTACTGAGCCCAGTGTCCTCGGTCGCGAAAAGAGATCGAGGACAGGACCCTTGGTTAGGAGGGTGAGTGTCCTGGCCACTCGACTATGTTTTCCCGGCTTTTATTCAGATCTGGCCCATCCATGTTAGGCAAACTAGGCAACCACCCAGGGCGCTTGTATTTGAGAGGCGGCATGGCATGGCAAGCAGATTATGTTTACTCGAATTATTTCAACCTTAAAAATGCAGTACTTAAAAAAAAAAAATTTTTAACGTTAGTCCATGCCCGTAGTATTCAAAAGCACGTTTACAGACCAATTGTACTTAAGGACTTCCTTCTGTCATTTTCAAAATTACACTCTATAATCGGTGTACCAACATTAATATTTTATTTGGTGGTGATAATTTTATTGGCGTCGTTCCAATCTTAGCCTAGGGTGCCAAGTTCCATTTAGCCAGCTCTGGTTTCATTCCCGAGGAAAGAGTACACCGCCAAGAGCTTTTTTGTGGCGTTTCACACAGCCCTCTGTCATAGTAAACGTCGAGTAAAGGCGGCTGGGACAGTGGGCATTGACGAAAGAAATAGCCGTTTCACCACAAAATGAGATAACTTCTTAAGTAGCTTACATTAAGAGCTAGAAAGAGAAAAAACATTAGCTAGCCAATCGCGACCAGCTGATTGCAGTTGTTACATTAAAAATGACCTAGTATATCATAATCGGATATCATAATCTTATTCCAAAGTGAAATATCTAAATACAAATATTTGTGCGTTTTTTTATTGGGTAAACCACATAATCACCCAATTTCTAATTCCACCGCGGAAATTTGCGTAGAGTTAGATAAAACAGGTATTTTTATTTAACTCTACTCAATATAAGTAACAATAACAGTTTTCCGGTGGACTTTAAACTCCGCAACTGATATTACACGATAAGACAAACGTTGTATCTACAATGTTATAGGTAGATAGATACCTTCTTCTTTTCCGTGTCTTATCTATTAAAAGAATCTGATCACTCAACCATCGCTTATTCAATGTTTAAATAATTTTGACCTACATAATTATCTATAAATTATTTCTTATATTTCCAAAAGTTAAGTACTATTTATATAAGTGGAATATATTTTATAAAATCACAGAATACATTTTTCTTGTTGAGAAATATTGAACTTTGAACTTGACTATGAATGACGTCAATTCACATTTTTAATGGGATGCGTAAGAGTCCATTACGCGTATCAACTGTCTAGACATCTTTATTGTATAAAAGCTTAATTTAACAGTGATGTTTTAGATGAACAAAGACCTAGACCTGATGACATGGATAGTAGACTAAATATAGGCGAATACATGCAAATCAACAGGCAACATTCAGTTGCAGAGCCAACCCTACGCGTGGGCTGACGACCATTGGCATCCAATGTCACGCGAACACGTAACACGTGTTTGAAACGTCACGTGTTTTTCAGAACTATTTATATAACAGACTTATCGGATCTGCTCGACTTACATCGACTGCGCGCTTGATTATATGTTATTCAAAGCCGTTTTCCGTGCAATGAAATACAAAATAAGAACGAATAACGTTTTCACATATATTGTGATATAAAAGAAGATAGTCTTTATTATGAACTAAAAGCTGATCCCGTGAACTTCGTCTTTGTACGGTTTACAGTAACGAACACCAGATCCGATAAGTTTGTGGCAATATGATGTCACAAATATGTAATAATAAGAAAAATAAATAAAAAATGGACAGTCTGAACACGCTGCCGTCGCTTTATTTTGTTATTAGTTTACGTCAAATGTTTCACTTTAGTAGGTTGGGAAACGTTTTATGCCCTTTTTATAATGATTATATTTCGATTTTTCGCTTTAATTCAAATAACCTACCTCCTACAAAAAAATTTAGAAGTTAAAGATGATTAAAATTTGACATATAAAAATGGTAAAATATGGTCCTTGGATAATTTTTTCTTGAAAGCTATGGATCTAACCGAAAATATGCAATAAAAGAACGCTTCGATTTAAATTAAGAATTTTAAATATTAGATAAATCAGAATAGATATAATTAAGCAAAAGCAATTTAACCTTTTTAATTATAGCGATCAAAGGCGTCCGTTTTGAATTACGTTTATGTTGTAAACAGAAAACATACTTATGTAGATTAAAATATCAAACTAAGTATTTACAAATAATTTTTATTGTATCGAATTTGTAAATAGATAACAAGATATTATACGCGTAGATTTCTGTGTCATACACCTGCCGTTAATCAGCGGCTACAATTCTACACAGATACTTATTTCCTTTAAAAACAAAGGTGTTTTATTAGAGCTTTGTAATCATAATCAGTTACTTGTAAATAAATACAGCATTATGTGAGTTCTGTCAATAGGAAATTACATTACGATACATGTAGATTGCCACAGACGTTAGCATCATTATAAAATATGTATTGTTTCAAAACTAGTGCAAAGGCGTAATATTAAAATCTATATTCGATATAATCGTAATCTATTTCATTTTCTATTCTACTTTTACTTGCTTATTTTTAATATTGAAGAATAGGACAGGTCCGATGAAGTTTATAACGCCTCGTATGTTTATTATAATGAATACGCCCCCTATCCTGTTATTCCGTTCTGTGTTGTTTACTTTAAACGTCAGCCAAATTCGTGAATGATATTTGACAACAGATTTTCCTTCTGTTGATGTTGTATAGGTTCAAAGTCATACATGACGTTGAATATTTATGTATTTACATCGTTTTCATAACCTACGTCAGATATTTAATGGTACCTATACTATTTTTCAACCGCAAGTTACTTGAAACTCAATATAGGTTTGTTCATAATAATCAAAAGATAATAAAAATTAAAATATTTTAAGAATAACATAAAAAACTGTCGGACAGGCGTGCCAAATTGTGATAATAATATGATAAATATGCTAATACTAAAATTTGTATAGTAAACTAGCAAAAAAATTACCTACGTTACGAAATAAGTAAGTCATATGCTTCGCCCAAGTCTCCTTTTTAAGTAAGTCTTTTTATCTAATGCAAATACTTTGCTGTTAAGTAATACAAAAAAGAGAGTGGGGCCTAGAATACTCCCCGAAGTACTCCAAAGGTAGCAGATATCTCATGGTATATTCAATAACGCTATATATTTTTCTCTCTACAGAATTTTAACAAGAAAATATTGTAATATAGATCACTCACATGATTTCAAATTCATTCTAATCTGTTGAATAATATGGAAATCTAGATTGTGTCAAAAGCATAGACTAAACCAAGGAAAATTTCCAGACACTTCGGCTTCAATTGCCTTGTCCAGTAATACAAGCAAATAAAACCATATAGGCACGACAAAAGAAATCTAAGAAATTTAAGAGTCAATCTATATTATTATTACAAAGAGGTGATTTTTCTCTGTTTTATGTTTGTAAT